ATCACAGTTTAATCCAGGATAATCACTGTTTAATCCAGGATAATCACTGTTTAATCCAGGATAATCACTGTGAAAAATCACATCATGTTGCTGCTGATTTGTTTCAAGCTCCTGTCCATTCATGCTCGTGCTCACACAGACTCTTGTTCGTGCTGCTTGGCATATTGTTTTTGTACTACTGGTGCTCAGCATATTTTTAGTTATCATTTTTCTTAGTTCGTATCTTAGATCAGAGCTGTCAAACTTGCTGACAAAAGGGGTCTAAATTAAAACCTTTTTCAAACTAAGGGCCAATCTCAAAAACCACACCAACTCAAATCAGATCTCCAACATCTTTTCTTGGTTACAGCTTTCTCAACAAGTTTGGTTAGTCTCATTTGATGTTCTCTGTTGTGTTTTTAACATGATAATCAAAGATTAGTGATAAAATTAAAGAGATACAAGTATTTTACATTTCACATATCATCTTGGGGGCCAGGTAAGATGTCAGTGAGGGCCACATTCGGCCCCCGGGCCTCGAGTTTGACACACGTGTCTTAGATCTTATCGCTGTTTTTCTTTTACATTTTATACTTTTGTTGGATGGAAGTGGGAGCCCATGTTCATAATTTTGTTTCACCACGTGTACCACATGTTGTGTATGACAAATAAAGAGCCTTGAATCCTTACAAGAACAGTTTTTATTATTATTGTCCAACTTGGGAAGTGGTGGAAATGAAACAAAGAGTGTTTTATAAAATACGATGTCTGTTCTAAAAGAATGGATCAGTCTAGAGCTGGGCGATATCTTTAAAATATCGAGATAATTTTTCTGCGATATAATTGAGTCTATGTCGCTATAAAACGATATAGTTGAAAACCCTCCTGCTGTCTCCTCCTCCCTCTCTGAACACAAAGCCAGCCCCTCGGCCGCGCTCCCCTCCTTCCTGCGTCTGCAGGAGGTGGGCGGACACGTTTAGCACAGCACATATGAAGAGCAGCTGCTGCTGAGGGAGAAACTATGTTCTTTCAGAGATCGTTTGGATTTAGATTGTCAGAGGAGGGGCAGAAAAATGATTTCTGTAGGTAATGCTGAAAACAGTCCTGACCAAAGGTCGGAACCAGGAATCTTTTTCACCATTAAACAGTGGAGTGGAGCATGAACTGTGAAGCTGCAGCTCCAAGTGGTTTTATAGCCTCCTGCCTCCTTAAGACAAAGCACGGGTCAGAGCTCACTTAGCTGAGAGGAGCAGAGCGAGGCAGCGACACACTGCTGAGTTGTTCATGTCGCCGCCTCGCTCTGCTCCTCTCAGCTATGAGTTGCTCGTGTCGCCGCCTCGCTCTGCTCCTCTCAGCTATGAGTTGCTCATGTCGCCGCCTCGCTCTGCTCCTCTCAGCTATGAGTTGCTCGTGTCGCCGCCTCGCTCTGCTCCTCTCAGCTATGAGTTGCTCTTGTCGCCGCCTCGCTCTGCTCCTCTCAGCTATGAGTTGCTCATGTCGCCGCCTCGCTCTGCTCCTCTCAGCTATGAGTTGCTCGTGTCGCCGCCTCGCTCTGCTCCTCTCAGCTATGAGTTGTTCGTGTCGCCGCCTCGCTCTGCTCCTCTCAGCTATGAGTTGTTCATGTCGCCGCCTCGCTCTGCTCCTCTCAGCTATGAGTTGCTCATGTCGCCGCCTCGCTCTGCTCCTCTCAGCTATGAGTTGCTCGTGTCGCCGCCTCGCTCTGCTCCTCTCAGCTAAGTGAGCTCTGACCCGTGCTTTGTCTTAAGGAGGCTGCAAAATACTGAGAGCTGCAGCTTCACGGCTCTTAGTGGAGGCTCACTTTACTGCAGTTCACACACCAACATGAAGGCTCCTTTCCATCTTATCAAGATCCTCAAAGCTCTTTACTACCATCTGTGCCTCACTGTCCCACTCATACAGCTCTATACTAGATCTCTACAAGGATTAATCAGAGCTTTATCACATTCAGACACTGATGGGACACATCAGAGGCTATTAGGGGTTCAATGTCTTGCTCAGGGACACTTCAGCATGTGACTGCTGGTGGAATCGAACCCCCAACTGTCCCATTGGAGGAGACTGTTCTAATGTCTCAGCCACAGCCGCCCTCAGCTGAACAGGATTATTATTTAATAGATGTAAAAAAATAAACTGATGTGTGTAAATAGTTGGTTCTTTAGAGTTACAGCTGTTTGTTAATAAATGTGCCTGTGTGACAACTGGGACAAAGCTTTGACTCAAATATATTTTTGTTACTTTAGGAAAAAAAAATTGATATATACATTGTATATCGCAATTTATCAAAAAATATTGAGATATTAATTTTGGTCCATATCGCTGAGCTCTAGATCAGTCTTATTTTAATAGTATCAGAAAAAAAAAGCTTTGATTTAAACTCTGGTGTGTTAGTTACTGAGTGAAGTTAGTGATTATTAAAAACCTTATCACTTTGTTCGACAGATTACTGACGTTACGTGCTGTGAGCAATAACTTGTCTTTGTCAACACTACTCTCAGAAGATGCAACACACACTGACAGCTGTATTTTACCATCATTACCTGGTGTGAAGAAATCCTACAGTACTTTGTTCTATGGGTGGTTTGACTTTAACACAATGTAAGGGTGTTGAAAAAGTCCTACAAGAATGTCAAAAAAATTTGAATAAAACATAAAACAAGTCTTTTCACTTTGCATAAAAATACTTAAAAAAAATCTACATCTATTTAAAATTGCTCAGGAAACAACTTAAATCTAATGTATGTTATTCAATAAAAAAAAGTTTCCCTAAAACTCAAAGAGCAAGGATAAAAAGCTTTTTTGTGTCTTAATGTTTCAAAGAAATCTCTCAAAATAAACTTTAAACTGGCGATAAAAAACAAAAATATATTGTCTTATAATATTACTCCAACCTTGAAGGATCTGGGCAAATTATTCAGAGTACTTAAAAAAGGTCCTTTAAATCCTCTGAAACAAAGAGCTTTGTATCAAATATGGACACAAGTAAAAAGTAGCATCAGCCATTTTTAAACTAAACAGGCTCAGCTGGGGTGTCATTGTGAGTCTGCATATGAACCGTGATATGAACATGTTGACCTTACCTAAAGGAGTTAGAGAAAGGTAGAGCTCTGCAGGTCAAACCAAGGCAGCAATTAAAAAAGGAAACATTGTGAGACAGAGGCAAAAGAATCAACAAAACAAGACAAAGTGTTATCAGAAAAAATCAGGAGCAAGTAGAAAACAAAAGTTGTGTTTGTTGCACAACCATCACAGCACAGATAAAATATCAGTTTTTCATCAGCAACCTGCTCATCATGTTTCTGCATTTGAAACCAGTTTCATGAACAGAGATACACATGCCTTGTTTACAAAAAGTCATATGAATGCTACACATTCATTGTATGTGTGGATCAATTCTGAAGTTGTGTAATTATTGTAGTTAGTGTCTACATTTGATATTCCTGCTTCATGCCTACTCCAGCGCAGAACATAACTTTTGAAAAAGGAGTGACATACTGAAAAGTTGAAGCAAACTCAAGTATCGATAGCATCATACTAGTATCATCCAAGGCATGGTAACTGTACAAAGTTCAAAGAAAAACATGAAGCAATGGGACTTCTATTCAGTAGTTAAAGCTGTGCAAAGTGTCAAGTTTGAAACTGCATGAACTGCAAAAAATCAACAGCAGACTTGGGCCACTTTTACCTGCAGTGTGAATGTAGCTTTAAGCAGAAATTTGTATCAACCCAGTTATTCTCCAATGCAGCTAATGCCCCTCTTCAGCTCGGTTCGATTCAGCTCGGTACGGTTGAGCTTGGTACATGTTGCTTTTCATGCACTTCAGTACCAGTTCTAGTAGGCAGGTCCAGAGTCCAATGCACCTTACCAGTTGGTGGTGGTAGTGCTCCATTAAGTTATTTACTAGCCACAACTAAACGTATTAAAAGACCCTGAAAAGATACACACACAAAAAAAGGAGGATCTCGTAGCTTTGTTGAACATTCTGCTCAGTCTGTGGCTTTTTGTCAAACGTCAAAGAGAAGAGACCCAGAAAAGGCTGCGGGCAGCGAGGAGAAAGACTCTGGAGAAACACAAGAGAGTGTAGGAAACCATACAGATGCAAGTTAAACGATGTATGAGGGTAAGCTAATGCTAATCTGCTACAGGGAGCTGAGCGTAAAGTATGTACCGGTAAATGTCAATTAAATACGGTTTAACTGTGTGTGTGTTTCAGATGATTCTCCAGCAAAAATAATCACAGCAGAGCTACAGTGTTTATGGCCAGCTCTGGAGCGATGTGTGCCAGTAAAGATGAAAGTGGCTGTTATCTTCCCTGCCCTAAACCATCGATGTACCATTTCACTATAGATGTTGACAAAGATGTTTTAAAAATATGTTGACTTTTCTCTACAAAAGTTAAGTCTGGTCCTCTGGACATCAAAAAAAACAAAACAAAGCAAAACAACAAATTGTAGAAACGTTTTGTCTCTCATCCTGAGGACTTCCTCAGTCTGAGGTGCTGTTTTCAGCTCAGTCTCTTAAATAGCACCATCTCAGAGTGGATCAACCAGTTTGCTGCTGACAACCAGAACCAGCTGATCACATGCTCAAGAAGGACCATCAGCCTAACAATGGATCATTAGCACCTGATGGCTGTTTACTATTCACAGAGGGCTGAGTGATACTAGCAATCACAACATTGTAAGAGGGGGACAGTTGAACCCGGAGGCTCCACCCCTGTTTAATGATGGACGGTTTCTTTTCACAAAGATGGCCTCCTTTACTCCTCTCTCAAAGCATAGTTCCTCTCTGTCCAGGATGTGAACATCTTCATCCCTGAAAGAGTGACCGCTGGCCTGGAGATGAGTGTAGACCGCAGAGTCCTGGCCTGATGATGTTGATGATCTTCAGTGCTGGTCTATCCATTTGGCCAGTGGCTGTTTAGTTTCCCGGATGTAAGACTGATCACCCTCCTGACACTGAACAGCATACACAATATTACTCTGTGCCAGGGGACTGGATCTTGGGAATGAACCAGTCTTTGCCGTAATGTAATTTGATGTTTAAAAGCCACTGGGACGTTATTTCGTGGCTTATCAGAGCTGTGGCCGCAAGGTTGTCGGTGCCTGTCGCAGCGGTAACCCTCTAACCCGGTGGTGGACACCGGCGGTGAGGGATGCTGTCAGGCTGAAGGAGGAGTCCTATCGGGCCTTTTTGGCCAGTGGGAACCTGGAAGCAGCTGATGGGTACTGGCAGACCAAGCGGCATGCAGCTCGGGTGGTCAATGAGGCAAAAACCCAGGCGTGGGAGGAGTTCGGCGAGGCCATGGAGAATGACTTCCGTACGGTTTCAAGGCAATTCTGGTCCACCATCAGGCGTCTCAGGGGGGGAAAACGGTATGCTACCAACAATATTTATAGTGGAGGTGGTATGCTGCTGACCTCAACTCGGGATGTCGTGGGTCGGTGGGCAGAGTACTTTGAAGACCTCCTCAATACTGTAGTGAACTTAATCTGAGGTCAAAACTCTTGACCTTAAGAACCTTGTGGGACAGGAACTGTCATTTCATTGATTTGAATCCAGAAATACAGGTTCACCCATCCTGAGACTTTCTTTCTTGAAAATTCAAGTGGAAGAACACTCTCTGTTCTATTATCATTACTATTTTACAAATGTTGATAATCAAAGTGCCTTAGTTCAAACCATTTTAGATGTTGCAGTGAACTAATCAATTTTATTAACTGTGTAATGATTTTTAATTCTCATGCAAAGTTAGAATTCATGTTGAGGTCTGTTACAGATTTTTATGCATTTTCTGATTTCTGCCTTTGAATGAGCAAGTGTGTGTTTCCAGGGTCAGGAGTTGAAGCAGACATGTGTTGGAACAACTGTCCTGTTTATATCCTCTCAGACGTCAACAGGGGGGTTTTGGCACCTGTTTCTTAAACTCGCCAAAACAAAACTCTCTCTGTCTGTGAGAACATTTCTGATCTGTTCCATAACAATTCTTGCTGCCTTCTAACCTTTTACGTCACAAAACACACCCCGTCTGGTCGGTTCTGGCCAATGGGGAGACTCCCGAATGAACCGGGAAAAGAGCTCTTTAAAATGTCGGTACTTCCTGGTCTACTCAGTTCTGTTGGAGTTCTGTTGGAGTTCTGTTGGAGTTCTGTTGGAGTTCTGTTGGATACACAGTTCTGTCAGTTCTGTGAGGGCTGTGAGAGTTCAGTTCTGTGGGAGTTGGGTCTCTGTTCAGTTCTGTGAGCCGGGAAGATCCTGACATGACAACAGAGCTCTTCCGAGTTTCATGGGATTATAACATCTTCACTGAGGTGAGCTGTGGCGGACAGAATCTCGCCGCTACTCCGGACGAGTAACAGCATCCTACGGAGACGCTGAAGGGTGCGTTAAACGGAATCTCGCCTGAGACATCTCCAGGTAAAAGAGTCGATTTCACCACCTAAGTGTACTGTAAGGGAGAAGCTGAAGAAAGCCCGGAGAGTGCCGTTCTGTTCAACACTCCCTCAAACCCCATCTTTTACTCTTCTTTAAACTTCTTTCCCATCTTTAAACTCCTCTCTCAAGTAGAAATTCTTCCAGATATTTAGAAATGTCTGTGTAAAGTGCTCATCCACCGCCGTGTGGGTAAAAGATCATAATTGTACAGTTTTCATAAATGTCTGTGGTGAAGCAACGGAAAAATCATGGCCGTATGATTTTTCCTGATTGATTGCTTATGTTGTTATTTTCATAATTTGCCAAATTAATGTAAAGGTTTGATGTTAAACTTTGATTCTGTAAATAAATGACCGCATTCATTTTGATGGGTCAAACATAAATGACGTCTCACGTTTGCATTTCATTAAATTCAATGCACGTTTTATTCAGTTCAGAAAAATGAGGAATCCGTGTTAATTGATGAATATATCTGAGCATCTGTTCATCTACAATCCCACCGGCACGTCTTCCACTGAGGAAGCAGAGCCTGGGGACTTTGGGGTGGGCTCTCCAATTTCTGGGGCCGAAGTCACCGAGGTAGTTAAAAAGCTCCTCGGTGGCAAGGCCCCAGGGGTGGATGAGATTCGCCCGGAGTTCCTAAAGGCTCTGGATGTTGTGGGGTTGTGTTGGCTTACACGACTCTGCAATATTGCGTGGACATTGGGGGCAGTTCCCCTGGATTGGCAGACTGGAGTGGTGGTCCCCCTATTTAAAAAGGGGGACCGTAGAGTGTGTTCCAACTACAGGGGGTCCGTCGGATAGTCGAACCTCGGATTCAGGAGGAGCAGTGCAGTTTTCGTCCTTGTCGTGGAGCACTGGACCAGCTCTACACTCTCAGCAGGGTCCTGGAGGGTGCGTGGGAGTTTGCCCAACCAGTCTACATGTGCTTTGTGGACTTGGAGAAGGCATTCTACCGCGTCCCTCGGGGAGCCCTGTGGGGAGTACTCTGGGAGTATGGAGTTCCAGGTCCTTTGATACGGGCTGTTTGATACAGGCTCATTCCCAGTGAAAGTTGGACTCCGCCAAGGTTGTCCTTTGTCACAATTCTGTTCATAACTTTTATGGACAGAATTTCTAGGTGCAGCCAAGGTGTTGAAGGGACCGTTTTGGTGGCCTTAGGATCGCTTCTCTGCTTTTTGCAGATGATGTGGTCCTACTGGCTTCATCAAGTCATGATCTACAGCTTTCGCTGGAGCGGTTCGTGACCAAATGTGACGCGGCCGGGATGAGGATCAGTTCCTCCAAATCCGAGGCCATGGTCTTGAGCCAGAAAAGGGCAGAGTGCCCTCTCCGGGTCGGGGAGGAGGTCCTGACCCAAGTGGAGGAGTTCAAGTATCTCGGGGTCTTGTTCACAAATGAGGGAAAAATGGAGCGTGAGATCGATAGGCGGATAGGTGCAGCGTCGGCAATGAAGCGGGCGCTGTACAGGTCTGTTTTGGTGAAGAGAGAGCTGAGTCAAAAGGCGAAGCTCTCAATTTACCGATTGATCTACGTTACTACCCTCACCTATGGCCATGAGCTTTGGGTTGTGACCGAAAGAACGAGATCACGGATACAGGCGGCCGAAATGAGTTTTCTCCGCAGGGTGTCTGCGCTCTCCCTTAGAGATAGTGTGAGAAGCTCGGTCAT